AACTCCTGGGCTCAAGCAATCCTTCTGCCTCAGCCTCCCGAGTAGCTGGGACTACAGGCATGCGCCACCATGCCCGGCTAATTTTTTCTATATAATTTTAGTTGGCCAATTAATTTCTTTCTATTTTTAGTAGAGACAGGGTCTCGCTCTTGCTCAGGCTGGTCTTGAACCCCTGACCTTGAGCAATCCTCCTGTCTGGGCCTCCCAGAGTGCTAGGATTACAGGTGTGAGCCACTACACCCAGCCCATTGCAGTAGTCTTGAATAAAGTTTTCCCTAGCGTTTTAACAAGTGCCAGAATACTTTTACCTTGAACAGAGGAAAATAGAAAGATGTCAAACCAGACTCCACCTAAGTGATGAGGACCCCAAAGACTGGCCCTGAGGTTTGTCTGCCTCAAGACAGACAGGGGGACCAAGAGAACAAGAGACACCTGGGGCTAGGCGCGCCTATAATCCTGGCACTCTGGGAGGCCGAGGCGTGTGGATCGCTTGAACTCAGGAGTTCCAGACCAGCCTGAGAAAGAGCGAGACCCCGTCTCTACTAAAAATAGAAAGAAGTTAATTGGCCAACTAAAAATATATAGAAAAAATTAGCCGGAGATGGCGGCGCATGCCTGTAGTCCCAGCTACTCGGGAGGCTGAGGCAGAAGGATTGCTTGAGCCCAGGAGTTTGAGGTTGTTGTGAGCTAGGCTGATGCCACGGCACTCTATCCCGGGCAACAGAGTGAGACTCTGTCTCAAAAAAAAAAAAAAAGAAAAAAAGAAAGAGACACCTGGACCCCAGCCCTCACTCCAACCCTTTCTGAGCCCAGAGGGGAGGAGGCCAGAACTGCTCTCCAGGAGAGGCCCGATGCACATACCACAGAGGATGACCAGCCAGGGACAGCAGCCCCAGTGAGCCCGGGCCATAGGGTCTCCAGATGCCGGTGCTGGGAGGATAGAGGGATTGGAGAGAGAGGGAAGGCTGTCTCCCTGGCCTCTTCCTCCAGGCCTTTCCTGAACAGGAACAGACAGGTGAGATGTCTGGTCTCTCTGGTCTTCTGTTTCGGAGGGCTCTGGGAGTCAGGGTGGGCAGAGCCTTGAACTGCTCCAGGCTGTCTGTGCAGGCTCCTACTCTCCTAGGCTAGGGCGTGAGCCCGCCCTGGGCAGAGTCCAAAGATCTCAAGATAAAGGTGTAACAGCTGGTTTCAATCAGCCTGTTTTTCTCAACCCCCCTCTTCAGCAGCCTGGCCCCAGCCATTCCCAAATTCTGTCCCCCTCTCTCCAGCAAGCTGTTTCCCATTAGCTCCCCACCAGGCTCTGGCTACAGCTCTGCCCTGGGGATGGATACTTGCACCCCCTCCCTCCTTCTCCGAGATAGCCTATCTCAGAAAAAGTTGGCATCCCCCCCCGCACCCCCGTAGTGCCTGGGAAGCCCCACTGTACCCCTTGTGGAAGTTGGTTGCAGCTGGAGAGTTACTTTCTTGAGCTGAGTTGACTCTGTTCAGGAAAGTCCATTCTGTAAAAGTGCCACCAGCCTGAAAAAGTGCCACCAGCCCTTCCCTTGGGATCCTGGGAGTCCCATTGAGCTGCACATTCTATACTCCAGAAAATCCAAGCTATTAGGGCCAGTCACACCTGCGAGCGAGTGAAGATCCAAAGAGGCCCCCATTTGGAGGGTTCAGGAGATGACACCAAAGAGGGAAGAAGACCCAGAAAGGGGAGTCTGGGTGCTCTGAGAAGACAAATTTGGTTAACTGGAAATGCCCTTTATCCCACAGCTCCTAGAAGAAGGATTTTTTTGTTGTTGTTGAGCCAGAGTCTTGCTTTATTGCCCAGGCTAGAGTGAGTGCCGTGGCATCAGCCTAGCTCACAGCAACCTCAAACTCCTGGGCTCAAGCGATCCTTTTGCCTCAGCCTCCTGAGTAGCTGGGACTACAGGCATGTGCTCCATGCCCAGCTAATTTTTTCTATATATATTAGTTGGCCATTTAATTTCTTTCTATTTATAGTAGAGACGGGGGTCTCGCTCTTGCTCAGGCTGGTTTCGAACTCCTGACCTTAAGCAATCCTCCTGCCTCGGCCTCCCAGAGTGCTAGGAGTACAGGCATGAGCCAATGCGCCAGGCCTAGAAGAAGGATTTGTTTACCCTGAATGTCAGGTCACTCTTAAACAGCATGACTCCCAATGGGGGAAGTGAAGAAGCCAAAGCCAGTGTTGTCTTCACACCCAGCTGGGTCAGAGGGCAGTGTGCTGCACCAGCACCCAGGCAGCTCCTAGTAAATGTTTTCTAGAATTCTTGCTTTTGGGGCTCAAGAAAGGTGATGTTCCAGCAAGGAATGTCTCCAGAAGACAGACCCAGTGGAGATGGGTGCTCTCACCTAGCCTGGAGGGCCCCAGCGGCAAACCGCCCATTCCTTTGGATTTTATTTCTAATGTAGTTACACTCTGTTATGTCCCAAACAAGTTGAAAGCAGCTTTCAACAATCCATTCGAGAATGATAAAATAGGCCGTTTTGAAGAGGGAAAGAAGACCTTCTTGGGACTTCCTGAAGGGGCGGAGTCAAAGGGAGGGAGGAGTCTCAGCCAACTCCATCCTCAGGAATAAAAGCAGAGGGCACATGTACTTGCTATCAAATTGGCACTAACTGATCAACACTAAAGGGCTTGCACGGTAGTAATATTTTTTGTGGGGTGGGGGTAGGGGCTGGGTGTTGTAGGGGTGCAAGGGCACGCCCCAAATCATGGTTTGGGTGTGGCAAAGTCATGACATATAACCAAAATGCTTGTATCCCCCATAATATCCTGAAATAAACAACAATAATAAAAAAGCAGAGGGCAGAAGCCCACAGCCTCAGAGGACAGCCAGGGACAAGGTCTGCGGGGAGGCTGTATCATTCTATGACTGCTGGAGGTCCCGCTGTCTTTCTCCCTGGCCTCTTGCTCTCACCCCTTCCAGCACTGGTGATGAAGTTATTCCCAGAGACTAGAGGACTGGGAAGTGCCCCCTCAAAGGCCTTTGCCTCCTCTGTGCACCGAATTAGCCACCCTGAAGGGCACGCGGGCAGAGCTGATGGGGAAGGATTAAATGAGTTAATATTTGTGACATTCTCAGAACATTCCTCACAGAGAGTAAAGAGTAAATGTTATACAAATGTTTGTTAACTCAAGTACATACAGGAACTAAAGCCAGTCTCATCTGTACCTTGTTCTTTCTGTCCCTGGCTTCCATCGCTGCTGAAATGTCAGTTAATATTATAGCCGAGATCATCTGAGCTAAAGGGTCAACCTCAGAAACAAACAAACTGAACAAGGATCCCTGTCCCATCTTCTGGACTCTGCCCGGGGATGGTCCCCACACAGTGCTCAGCCCTCTGGTTTCGTGCCCCAGGTCCCTGCCTTGGCCTTGGTGGCAAAGATGACTTCACCTGCCTTTGCCCTCAGATCCTTCCTTATCTCCTTATCTTGAAACCACTATCTTTACTCTCATTAGTTGAGAGAATTGAACCCAAGTTGGTAACAGGCCTGAAGTGGAAAGAGATGATTCAGGATGGGGAGGGTTGAACAGGCCAACAGCTCTTGCATCAGAGTTGTTTGGAGGACTCTTGAGGCACTGCAGTCTCACGGTGGCCTGCTCAGGCAGCTGGGGCTCACCAAGGTTCCAGTCGATTCTACGCAGGCACTCTCCCAACCATCCATCCTCTTTGGGAGCCTGATCTCTTTACTTCCCTCCCCACACCATCTCCACTCCAGCCACACTGCCTTTCTTTCAGTCCCTCTTGCCATGTCCCCTCTGGCATAGGGCCTTTGCCTGTTCTTACTCCTCTGCCTGGGATGCTCGCCCTTCCTTCCTCTCTTTGCCCTGTGATCTCCTTCTCCTTCCAGTCTCGCCTGGAGTGTCACTTGCTTTGGAAGACTTCCCTGACCTCCTGGCTAGGTTGACTCCCCATATTAGTCCTCTTACTGCCTTTGTCACACCCATCATCTGCCTCCTAACACTTCCCCAGTCATGAAGAGGACCTAGCTCATGGCTGCCTCTCTTCCACATGTCTGCCATTACCCTGGGTGATATCAAGATTCCTGTCAATGACCCACCTAATGTCTATCCTAGTTCTTCAAGTCCAAAGCTCCTCAGTTCTAAGCACTTTCTCCTCCACTCTCAGCTTCCCACACCCAAAGCAGCATCTTGAGCCTAGTTTGTGCTTTGGATTGCTGTGCTCTGACGTACTGAACTCCAACCTCCATTGTCTGACTACAGCCTCCTGTCCTTCTTTCCTTCACTCTTTTATTTTTTTGTGTACACATTTAGTTTTATTATAACAAAGCAACTTGTACACTTTTAATGTTTAAAACTCAGCATCATCTTTCCTTTCCAGTGAAACAAAAAGAAAATTTAAAAATAAACAGGAACAAAATTACAATAGAGAATGTCAATTCCAAATAAGATCCTACATATTCTGCTGATTCTCCCATCGAGTGGCAGGGCTCAAGTCATCATTAGGAGAGAATTTATTTTAAAAGTGTCACCTTAAACTGCAAGGATGCCCATTAAACATCACAATTAAACATGCCAAAGGAGAAGCCATGTTGTCAAAATGCCCACTTAACCCACCCAAACATCTCAAACCCAGCCTTTGCTGACCTTCTATAACCCCATTTTTTAAAAGTTTTTTTTTTTTTTTTTTTTTTTTTTTTTTTTGAGACAGAGTCTCGCTTTGTTACCCACTAGAGTGAGTGCCGTGGCGTCAGCCTAGCTCACAGCAACCTCAAACTCCTGGGCTCAAGTGATCCTTCTGCCTCAGCCTCCCGGGTAGCTGGGACTACAGGCATGCGCCACCATGCCCGGCTAATTTTTTTTTTTATATATATATCAGTTGGCCAATTAGTTTCTTTCTATTTATAGTAGAGACGGGGTCTCGCTCTTGCTCAGGCTGGTTTTGAACTCCTGACCTTGAGCAATCCGCCCGCCTCGGCCTCCCAAGAGCTAGGATTACAGGCGTGAGCCACAGCGCCTGGCCAAAAGTTTTTTTTTTCTTTTTTTGAACAAGACAAAGTAGACAGATACATGTTGGTAAATGCTAACTGTCCATATTCACATAGAGACACAGTGTACTGTCTTAGCCCAATATATAGAGAAGGGAGGAAAAAAGCTAGAATCCTATGCACTACTGCACAGGGGCCTAGCACCCTCCAGCTTCCAGCAGAGTGAAGGGAGCAGGTTTTTCTTTTTTCCCACAAAGCTCAGTGGTGTCGATCCATACAGTTTTTGTTGAGATAGGAAGGGATAAAAATGAATTTGGAACAGAAAGGGGTAGAGATTCTTTTCCCATTGTATTCTGCAAGGTATTTCCCCCCAAAATAAGTTGAGAACCATGGTGTAGAGAAAAGAGACCTCAAGAACAGGGCCACTGAGCACAAGAGGAAAAAAAAAAAAGATTGCAACTTGCTCCCAGGGACTGGAGAAAATTTTTAAAAAGGAAGGTTGGAATCCATCAGTGTTCTGTTAGTCATATTCTCCTTCATCCTCCTCTCCTTCCTCTCCTTCATCATCATCTTCATCTTCTTCACCTTCATCCTCATCCCCTTCTTCACCAATATCTTCCAAACCTTCTTCTTCCTCATCGTCATCGTCATCTTCTCCTTCCCCCTCTTCATCATCCATATCAGGAACCAAGTAGTACTGTAATGGATTTGGCCAAATATCATCTTTGATGACCTTTCCTAATTCATCTGCACCTGCATCAGAATGGTCAGTAAACCAGGTAAAGAAGCTCTCTGGTTCCTCACGCTGCCTCTTCCTGCTGGCTTTATTCTGTGTTTGACTGGAATGTTTAGTCAAGTCCTTTCCAGATTTCCATTTGATTTCAGTGGACTTTGAAGATGGATCACCACTCTCATTCAGATGAAATTCTTTGGAGAGAACTTTATTTTCGAAGTAAGGATTTTCATCAAAATAAATGTAACCTGATTTAATATCTTCAAATTCTGTCACTTCAACTCTGGTCAAATAATGCAGTGCCTCTTCGTCCTCCTCCCCAAACAGTGCGGACACTTGTGGATGGTTAACGAATGTTGTTACCCAAAAATTTGGGATTTTGGCGATCAACTCTGACCTCTTCTGAAAAATGGTTGGCGGAGTTTGTTATATTTCTGTTCTACTTTCAAAATCTCCTCACTGGCTTGTTCATTAAATCTGTCTGTTTCATTTTGTACTTCATCAATATGTTCAATTGCTTCCTGCTGCTCTTTTTCTTTCTTCTTCAGCAAGCTCAGAGAGGCCGAGGTGTCCTCTGGCTTCGGGGCAGCCAGGCGGTCTTGGTTTCTTCTTCTGAGGCGGGAGCGGAGACTGGCGTTCGGGGGCCATGCTGCCAGGAAACGCCAAGAACCAGACCAAAGTATTCGTGCTGGGCTGCAAGAAGCTCAGAAAATTGAGGCAGCCCCAGGTGCTGGGGGTTTAAATCTCTGTCCCTCACCCTTACTGCACGTGACTTTTCATTTCACTGAAACCTCCTGTCCCTTACCCTATGCTCTTCCTCTCCATTTTATCAGCATCCCCTGGTCTCCCTTCCCTCCTTATTTGATCCAAACTATATAACCCATCACCACAACCTCCCTTTTACTAGCACATTTAACTGTCTTATTTCTTTGTCCTTCCGTTCCATCCTGCCAATCCCAAGGAAAGCACTAGAGCCATTGCACATACCATTCCCTCTTTTTTTTCCAGTTGTCAACATGGCTCATTCCTTCATTTCATTCAGATCTCTGTTCAAATGTCACCTCTGCAGAGAAGCCTTCCCTGATCTCATTATTTAAGTAGTGCCTCTGTCATTCTTTATCCCTTATTTTGTTTTAGTTATTCTTCAGAGCATTTAGCTGACATTATATTGTGTTTCTATTTATTTTTGTCCACTTCTGTATCCTAGGGCTTAGAACATTGCCTAGAGCTTAGTAGGCACTCATAAATATTTGTTGAATGAATAACTGAACCCCAGGACATTTGACCCCTCTGTCTTTTCCATAGGAGAATATATCCCAACTCTATGGGTTGGGGTCACTCCAAATTCATGATGTCTAACCTCAGCAGGCCTCTTGATGCTGTCTGGCAATCATTTTACTTATTCTGAGTTGGCACCATTTCCCATTGCCCTTGTGTGCAATTCCAAACCTTTATGCTTGTCCTTAAATCCCTATCCTGCTTGCATATCATAACCGATGGGCATTCAGGTTGTTTCTGACTTTACATTATTACAAACAAGAGGAATGAAAATCCATGCACAAGCAGAAGGATTTCTCTGGGATGATCCATATCTAGAAGTAGAAAAGTATACTTTTTTCATTTCAATAGATTCTGCCAAATTTCCTGCCAAGAAAAGCTTTACCAGTTCACACTCCTTCCAACAGGGTATGAAAACCTTACAGGCCAGGAGAGAGTGGCATGACATGTTCAAAGTGCTGAAGGAAAAAAATGTTAATCCTAGAACATTGTATCCTATAAAAATATCCTTCAAACATGAAGGAGAAATACTTTCTGAGACAAACAAAAGCTGAGCGATTTTGTCAACAGCAGACCTGCCCTATAAGAAATTCTAAAGGGAGTTCTTCAATCTGAAAGAAAGGAACATTAAGGAACAATAAGAAATCATCTAAAAGTATAAAATTCACTGGTAACAGTAAGTACACAAATACAGAATACACTATCACTGTAATTGTGATGTATAAACCACTTATATCTTCAACAGGAATGCCAAAAGGCAATCCTATCAAAAATAATAACTACAACAACTTTTTAAGAGCTAGAAAGTATAAAAGATATTAATGGAAACAACAAAATGTCAAAAAGTGGGGACAGGGATGGAGTTTAAGTGTAGAGTTTCTTTTAGCTTTCTCTTTGCTTATTTGTTTGGTTTTTGTAAGCAGAGTTACACTGTCATCTGTTTAAAACAATGGTTATTTTATTTTTTTTTGCAAGCCTCGTGGTAACCTCCAATCAGATACACAAAAAATGAAAAGCAAGAAATTAAAACTCACTACCAGAGAAAATCACTTTTATACAAAGACAGGAAGGAAGGAAGAAAGAAAGGACTACAAAAAATCCAGAAATCAAATAAGAACATGGGAGCAGTAAGTCCTTACCTATCGATAGTAACATTGAATATAAATGGACTAAATTCTCTAGTTAAAAGACAGAGTGGCTGAATGGATTAAGAAAACAAGACGTGACTATATGCTTCCTATAAGAAACCATATCACCTATGAAGACACATAGGCTGAAAGTGGAGGGATGGAAAAAAGATATCCCATGCAACTGGAAACCAAAAAGAACAGGAGTAGCTACACTTATATAAGATAAAACAGACTACAAATAAGACTGTAAAAAGAGGCAAAGAAGTCACTATATAATGATAAAGGGGTCAATTCAGCAAGAGGCTATAACAATTCCAAATATTTATGCACCCAACACTGGAGCTCCTAAGTATGTAAAGCAAACGTTAATAGATCTAGAGGGAAAGATTGCAATACGATAACAGTAAGGAACTTTAACACCCCACTCTTAGTAATGGGGAGATCATCTAGACAGAAAATCAACAAAGAAACACAGGAGTTAAACTACACACTAGACCAAATAGGCCTAAGTGACATTTACAAAACATTTCACACAACTGCTGCAGAATACACATTCTTTTCATTAGCACATGGGACATTCTCCAGAACAGACCAAATCGTAGACCATATCTATTTATTTAAGTCTGAATAAATTCAAAAAGTAGAAATAATATAAAGTATCTTTTCTGACCATGATGGAATAAAACTAGGAATCAATAATAAGAGGAAACTCAGAAACTTCACAAATGCATGGAAATTAAACAACATGCTCCATAAGGGACTGATGGGTCAATGAAGAAATTAAGGACGTTAAAAAAATCTCTTGAAAGAAATGAAAATGGAACTATAACATACCAAAACTATGGGATACAGCAAAAGCAGTACTAAGCGGGAAGTTTATAGCAATAAATACCTACATCAAAAAAGTAAGAAAGCTCTGTGGAAAGCAATATGGAGATACCTTAAAGCGATACAACTGAATCTACCATTTGACCCAGCAATCCCATTGCTGGGCATCTACCCAAATGATCCAGTGACACTCTACAAAAAAGACACCTGCACTCGAATGTTTATAGCAGCACAATTCATAATTGCAAGGCTGTGGAAACAGCCCAAGTGCCCATCAATCCAAGAATGGATTAATAAAATGTGGTATATGTATACCATGGAGTACTATTCAGCTCTAAGAAACAATGGTGATATAGCACATCTTATATTTTCCTGGTTAGAGCTGGAACCCATACTACTAAGTGAAGTATCCCAAGAATGGAAAAACAAGCACCAGATATATTCTCCAGAAAACTGGTATTAACTGACTAGCACCTAAGTGGACACATAGGTACTACAGTAATAGGGTATTGGGCAGGTGGGAGGGGGGAGGGGGGTGGGTATGTACATACATAATGAGTGAGATGTGCACCATCTGGGGGATGGTCATGATGGAGACTCAGACTTTTGGGGGGAGGGGGGAAATGGGCATTTATTGAAACCTTAAAATCTGTACCCCCATAATATGCCAAAATAAAAAAAAAAAAAAGTAAGAAAGACTTCAGATAAACAACCTAACAATGCACCTCGTAGAACTAGAAAAGCAAGAACACACCAAACCCAAAATTAGTAGAAGGAAAGAAATAATAAAGGTCAGAGCAGAAATGAATGAAATTGACACCAAAGAATACATAAGATCAACGAAGTGAAAAATTTATTTTTTTAAAAGATAAACAAAATTGACAAACCTTTGGAATAACTAAGAAAAAAAGTGCTATGACCCAAATAGATAACATCAGAAGTGAAAAAAGAGACATAACAACGGAGACCACAGAAATACAAAGAATTATTAGCGACTATTATGAACAACTATATGCCAACAAATTGGAAAACCCAGAAGAAAGAAATAAAGTTCTGGAACATACAACCTACAAAGATTGAACCATGAAGAAATAGAAAACCTCAATAAACCAATAATGAGTAACAAGATCAAAGCCATAATATAATAAAAAGTCTCCCAACAAAGAAAAGCTCAGGACCTGATGAATTCACTGCTGAATTCTGCCAAATATTTAAAGAAGAGCAAGGATTTTTGTTTTTGTAAGCCACTATGTTTTAGGGTGACTTTTTTTTTTTGAAGATAGTAGTAGATAACCAGAACAACCTTCTATTTACAAAATCTAAAGAACTGTTTTAAGGGCACTGACCTCTTTGTGGTAATTGATCTAGGAGAACTGTTCCCCTCCCTTCTTTGACTTCCTTGACAATTGTTTCTGGATCAACTCCTCTGGTTCATCTCTGGCTGCTGCTGCTTAATTTCCTTCCTCCACTTCTTTTATTTTCCCTTCCTCTTAAATATTGATATTCCAGCCTCAGTCCTCTTCTTTTCTGATGAATCACACTCTCCCCCATAAAGCTCACCCATCTCCAAGTTGATGCTAGCCCACACCTCTTTCCTGAGCTCTAGTGTCATAAAACCAAGTGCCAACTGACCATCTCTACCTGGATATTTCACATTCAGTATGTCCACAATGGATCTCTTCATTTCCCTCACACCCCAACATGTCCCTGTCCACACAGTTGCACAAGCCAGAATCCTGAGGGTCATTTCAGACCTCTCCTTCTTCCCTGACTCCACATTCAGTTAGTCACCATGTCTTGTCAAATCCACCTCCTAATTACATGTAAAGAGCATTGCTTTCTCTGCTTACCGCCCTGCCACAGACCCTAACTGGTTTGTCTTCCTCTGCTTTACTTCCTTTCTAAACTACCCTCCAAACCATGGCCAGTGGTTAAGAACGTGATCTTTAAAGCTATGTAGATCTGTTTTTATGTACCATCTTTACCATTTGCTGGCTTTGTGACCTTGCACAAGACATTCATTTCTCTGGGTCTCAATTTCTTCACCTGTAAAATGGGCATAATAATAATTTTACCTACTTGCAAGATCAGTGCCAGTATTTAATAAGATAATACATGAGCAGCACTTTGCACATTGCCCGGCACACAGCAAATGCTCAGTAAATGATTGTGGAATGTTTGAGAAAGGGACTTAGATGAGAACAATGGATGTCTCTAGCACAGGGGTCCTGAATCTTTTTAAACAGGGGGCCAGTTCACTGTCCCTCGGACCGTTGGAGGGCCGGACTATAGTTTAAAAACAACTACGAACAAATTCCTATGCACACTGCACATATCTTATTTTGAAGTAAAAAAACAAATGGGCAAAAACACCCGCATGTGGCCTGTGGGCTGTAGTTCGAGGACGCCTGCTCTTGCAGCTTACCT